AAAAAAAAAAAGAAAGAAAATGAAATTGGCTCTAGCTCTGCCTTTATTTTATTTTATTTTATTTTATTTATTTTTTTTAATCCTCACTCGAGGACACCTTTTCATTTTTTTTTTTTGTTCAGATAGAGCGGGAGGGAGAGAGAGGTAGAGAGAGAGAGAGAAACATCGACGAGAAGGGACACATCGAGTGGCTGCCACCCGCACGACCAACCAGGGCCGGGGACAAACTGCATCCGAGGTACGTGCCCTTGGCGGGAACCGGACCCGGGTCTCTCCAGACCACAGGCCGATGCTCTAACCGCTGAGCCAAACCGGCCAGGGCGAACCAGTGACTTCTTGATGCATGGGTCGATGCTCAACCACCGAGTCACACTGGCCAGGCTCCAGCTCTGCCTTTAAAACAGTATTGTTGTATGTCAAATTAGATGATGTATATATGCCAAAACACAATAGAATTAGAAAAGACCATTAAATGTTAGATATAAAGAGAATTAATTATGCCCTAAGAAGATAAGTTTATAATTCTGAATTTTGCTGGAAATAAAATCATGTGCTATTAACTTTATGTCAGTGAATTTCTTTTTTTTCAAATTTACTTATTTTTTAATCCTCACTTGAGGATATTTTTCCATTTATCTTCAGTTAGTGTGGGAGGGAGGGAGGGGGAGAGGGAGAGAGAAACATTGATGTGAGAGAGACACATCGCACACGACCCCAACCGGGGTTGGGGATGAACTGCAGTCAAGGTACATGCTCTTGACTGGATTGAACTCGGGACTCTGGTCTGTGGGCTGATGCTCTAACCTCTGAGCCAAACTGGCCAGGGCTCTTCTGTTGACTATTCCGAGTATTTCCTACCTGACACCAGTGAGTTTCTATAAAAAGAAAATCCACATTAAAAAATTACTGATGAGCCCAGGCCGGTTTTGCTCAGTGGTTAGAACGTCGGCCCATGGACCACAGAGGCCAGGGTTCAGTTGCCGCTAAGGGCACATACCTTGGTTGCAGTTTGTCCCCAGCCCTGGTTGGGTTCCTGTGAATGGCAACCGCTCCATGTGTCTCTCTCACGTCGATTGTTTCTCTCTCTTCCTCTTTCCCTCAAGATAAATGCAAAAAAAAAAAAAGGAAAAAAATTATTGATTATAAGCTATGCTAAAGATTTTGATCTTTATATTTGGACAGCAGGAAGCCACTAATGTAGGGTTTGCAGGTGAGGAGGTATGTCATTTATTTTAAAGAGAGCATTCTAACTTCAGGATGGCGTTTGATGGGCAATCAGTGATGGATACAGGAAGGTAGTTACGCTTTTGGAATAGGCAGAGCTGGGCCAGGGTGGTGTTGCTGTTAGAAGAGAGCTGTTTAGGAAGGTAGGGATTAGTGATAGATTTATTACCAGAGGGGAGGAAGAAGGATGTTCTTGACATTGCTGTTCACGCAAAGAAGGAACCTTGGAAGATCAGGTTTGGGGAGAAAATAATGATTTTTTTGTGGAATTCGCTCTTCTATTGAGACACCCAAAAACCCATGTTGAGGAAGTCACCAACAGAGACTGACTGAAGCAAAGTATCACCTAGAGAAGGGTATACTGTGGGAAGAAAAGGAAATTTAGGAATTGTCCACATAAGAAATGTCAAAACCTGTAAAGAATTCTTATGAGTTTATCTGAGCCAAACTGACAGTTGCCGGGAAGCAAAATCTCAATGGATTGAGAAAATGCTCCTGAAAGTGGCAGTTTTACCACTTATTTTACACATCAGAATCAAAGGGGAAGACATAAGAGAGTTACATGAAATTCACTGGTGATAGATTAGGGAGGCAGGAGAGAGCATAGTGGTGAAATCTCAGATTGGGTAAAAAGTAAAAGAGATGGACACATACTTGATTGTTAATAATTGACAATATGATCATAAAATGTGGGGTTCTGAACTCTTGCTCTTATCTGAGATTGTGTCCTGAGGGGTCTGGTAAAAGGGGATTACTCTGACATTCCAAAGATAGGTTATCTTAGAAGCAAAAAGACAATAGATTCACTTAAGGTAAAGTGACCTTTGTCAGGAAGACCTTTGTCTAGGATAGGACTGCCCATCATGACTCACATTTTACTCCAAGGACCTGTCTAAAATGGAAGGTTGTTTTGTTTTAGGATGAAGGGTGGGGCAAGGGAGGTATTGACAAAAGAAAAGAAAGGATTTTTGGGTGGGACATCTTTTCTTTGGTGAGGGGTTTTATTTTTCAGATCTCTCTTTCTTTGTGGCTTAGGGGGTGGACAGGGTGGGTACTTGACCATAAAATTCAACTGATACGTTTCTGGGAGAGGTTGAAACTGCAGATCAGGTATTAAATCTAGGCTTGATATTAGGGGGTTTTGTTTTTGTTTTTCACTGAGGGATGTCATTTTGTGCCTGTGGTTTTCTCTTTAACAACAACTTGGAGGTTATTGACAACTCTAGGGAGGAGTGCTAGGGGCAGAAATCATCCTGAAATGTTTTTTTGGGTGAATGAAATATGAAAAATAGATAATAGTTATAAACTACTCAATCAAGGAATTTAGCTTCTAGAAGGAGAAGAGAGTGATGAAATCAAATAAAGAGAGAGGGATATTGTTGCTTAAATTTATGATTTTAGAAAACATTGTTGTGCAGATATATCATGGTAAATAACACAAAAGTATAGATCAGTGAATGAATTTTTACAAACTCAACACTTATGTAACCATCACCTAGGGTAAGAAACAGAATATTGCTAATTGCCTATTGATTTTGAATTTCATATAGATGTGTTATCAGAAAGGAGACCTGGCCCTGAATGCGTCTGCCTAGGGCCAGCTGATAGTGTGTGGGTTCTTGACTTTGTGCAGGAAAAATTTCACAACACAAGTCCAGGTGAATTTCAAAGGACATTTATTAAAGCTAGCGACAGTGAAACAAGAAAGGGCTGCAGAAGGGAGCCTAGGCTGGTCTGCTTTGGCTCACTCAGAGGTCAGAGAAAAGGGGCTTGGTGGGCAGGGTCAGGGAGTTTGTCTGAGACGAACTGTTGCTGCCCCTTGCTGCTTGGTTGCAAGCCTCCTGGGCTCCCTTAGTGGTTAGGAGATGCATGCCTGTGGGGGAAGGTGGGGGGGCAGACACATGTGTGCTCCTGGGAGGAGCAGGAAGCATTTAGGGGAGGATCTCAGTAGAATATTCATCAGCTTTATGCCGATGTACCAAAATGATATTTATTCTCTTAACTTCATCTGTCCTTGGATGTGGTTGGCAAATGGCCCTAACTGGGTTTCTATTATTTGTCTCCCTAATAGGGTAATTTAAGCTGTTTACCCTTTGGTTGGGGAGAAGTGTAAACCATTTATTTACTCTTCTGTGTCCCTGGTTTAGGGACAATAGGATTTACTAGATGGCTGCAAACTGCTGTTTAACTATCTTTCTCAGTTTCTCTATTCTGCTTGTACTGGCTACTGGCCTGTCTCAGATGGAATTATTCAGTATATAGTCTTTTATGTCTGGCTTATTTTGCTCATTATGTCTGAGGTTCATCCATGTTATGGTGTATGGTTGTAGTTTATTCTTTTTTCTGTGCTGAGTAATATTCCATTGTATCAGTATAACACTGTGCTTATCCATTCTGTTGGTGGACATTTGGATTGATTGCAGCTTTTGGCTCTTTTTAAATAATCTTGTTATGAATATTTTTTTGCATGTCTCTTAGTGTATATGTATGTGCTCATGCTTCTATTATTATTATTATTTTTTTTATCCTCACCCGAGGACATTTTTCCATTTTTTGTTCAGATAGAGCGGGAGGGAGAGAGAGGAAGAGAGAGAGAGAGAAACATCAATGTGAAGGGACACATCGAGTGGCTGCCACCCGCACGACCAACCAGGGCCGGGGACAAACTGCAACCGAGGTACATGCCCTTAGCGGGAACCGAACCCAGGTCTCTCTGTACCGCAGGCCGACGCTCTAACCGCTGAGCCAAACCGGCCAGGGCTCATGCTTCTAATGAGCATGTACACCTAGAGTGAATCTGCTTGGTCAAAGGACGTGGTATCTTCAACTTGAGTATGTTGTCAAAATGTTTTCTAAAGTGGTTGTACTAATTACATTCACCAGCAGTGAATAAGAAACCACATCCTCCCTACACTTGGTTTGTCATTGTGGTTTTAATTACCATATCCTTGATTATAGCAAATGAGGTTGAACTACTTTTCATGTTGATTTATCATTTGAATATCCTGGTTTTGAAGTGCTCTTGCCTATTTTTCTAATGACTTATCTTTCATATTTATTTATTTTTTAAATCCTCTCCCAAGGATATTTTTCCATTTATTTTCAGACAGAGTGGGGTGGGGAGAGAAACATCGATGTGAGACAGACATATCAACTGGTTGCTTCCTGCACAACCTGGACCAGGGCTGGGGATGGAACCATAACCGAGGTACATGTCCTTGATCAGAATCGAACCCTCGACTTTTTAGTCTGTGGGCCGATGCTGTAACTGCTGAGCCAAACTGGCCAGGGCCCATTGATTTTTTTTTTTGCATTATCCTCAGATAGAGCGGGAGGGAGAAAGGGGGGAAAAGAGAGAGAGAAACATCAATGTGAGAGAGACACACACCGAATGGCTGCCACCCACGTAACCCCAACTGGGGCCAGGGACAAACTGCAACTGAGGTACATGCCTTGAGTGGGAACCGAACCCAGGACTTTCTGGTCTGCTGGCCGAAGCTCTAACCACTGAGCAAAACTGGCCAGGGCAAGAGTTTGACTTTTTTTTAAAACCTTTCGTGTGCTGGTACTTATAGGTACTCTGTTTAAATGAAAAACTATTTTTATCATTTCAGTTTCCTGTTCACTTTCTTTTAAATGATGTCTTCCAACTACTTCTGCCCTCATGTTTTATTGAGAAACAATTGAAACAGTCATAGCACTAGTGTCATTAAAGAAGTCTGTTGCTTTCTTGACCGACATTGTGTCTTTTTCTCTGTTACTTAATTCTAATGTAGATACATCAAGAAATCTGGAATTTCATGAAATACACAGCACTGGGAATGAGCCGCCTTTACTGATTATGATTGGCTACAGTGATGGAATGCAGGTCTGGAGCATCCCTGTAAGTATGAAGATGGTTGATTACCTAAAACATGCTACTTTTCAGCATACTAACTGAGGTCAAATCTGGTGATGCTTTCAGAAACATCTTGTCCATTGATTTCACAGCAGTTGCTTAACATACTACTATGTGTGAAACACATATAAGGCACAAGGAATAAGGAGCAGGTGGGAGATCAGGGGTGTTGTAAATGATTTGTGAAGTGGGCCAGGAATTGTGGGAATCACTTTACATGCAAGATCTCGTTTCTTGTCATGGTAACTCTATTAAGTAGGTATTATTTTTTCCTCCCATTTTACAGATGATTAAGCAGGCTTATTATAAAACTTCTTTAAAAATTAGCAATCATGCCCTGGCCGGTTTGGCTCAGCGGTTAGAGCGTCCGCCTGCGGTCCGGAGAGACCCGGGTTCGGTTCCCGCTAAGGGCATGTACCTCGGTTGCAGTTTGTCCCCGGCCCTGGTTGGTCGTGTGGGTGGCAGTTACTTGATGTGTCCCTTTCACATCGATGTTTCCCTCTCTCTCTCTTCCTCTCTCTCCCTCCCACTCTGTCTGTACAAAAAATGGAAAAATGTCCTCAAATGAGGATAAAAAAAAAAAAAATTAGCAATCATTGGCCTGGCCGGTTTGGCTCAGTGCTTGAATGTTGACCCAAGCACCAAGAGATTGCTGGTTCGATTCCCAGTCAGGGCACATGCCCAGGTTGTGGGCCAAATCCCCAGTGGGGGGCATGCAGGAGGCGGCCAATCGATGTTGTTTTTCATCGATGTTTCTATCTCTCTCGCCTTCTCCCTTTCTCTCTCTCTCAAATCAATAAATAAAAAGTAGAAAAAAAAAAATCAGTGTTTTGAAGTAGTTAAAAATTCACTTCATACAAAATTCACCAGATATAACAGGGTAAAAATCTCCCTCCCATTCTTGTTCCCCATTTTCCCTACCTTGAGGTAACCAGGCTTTCTAGTTTCTTATATATCTTTATAGCTATATTTTAGGCAAAAATATATATAAATATATTTCTTTCACTCTGCTCTTTCCTAACAGATGGAAGCGTATTAGTTTTTACCTTGCTGTTTTTTACTCATAAAGTCAGTCTACTGAGAGGTGCTTCATTGAATTTTATAGCTAACTGCGTATAATCTATTTGGCTTTCCTTTTTATGTAACTTGTTCCCTAATGAAAAACATAAATGTCCTTTTTTAAAATTAGAAACAATAATGTAATACATGAACTCGAACAAAGTTATTTTATATCTGTGTATCTGTAGGGTAAATTCCAATTTTGATAAATGTTTTTAATTGTCTAATATGGTCCCAGTTTGCCTTTTATTTACTTATTTATTTAATGTTTTTATTTTTTATTTTATGTATTTTTTAAAAATCCTCAACCAAGGATATTTTTTCCATTGATTTTCAGATAGTATAGGAGGAAAGAAGACGGAAGGGGGGGAGAGAGAGAAAGCAAGAGAGAGGGAGGGAGGGAAAGAGAGAGAGAAACATTGATGTGAGAGATGCACTTTGATTGGCTGCCTCCTGCATGACTCTGACCAGGGTCGGGGACCAAACTGCAACCTTGGTACCTGTCCTTGACTGGAATTGAACCTGAGACTCTTTGATCCATGGGTCTACCCTTGGCAGAGCCAAACTGGCCAGAGCTTTATTTATTTTTAAAAAATGTGGTTTTCTAAAAAAAATTTTAGAAAGAGAAGAAGGGAGAGAGGTAGAAACATCAATGTGAGATAGAAACACTAATCAGCTGCCTCCTGCACATCCCCTACTAGGGGTCGAGCCCACAACCCAGGCATGTGCCCTGACCAGGAATTGAATCCTCTGAGCCACACCAGCTGGGCCCAGTTTGCCTTTGAAATCCTACATATTCCTCTTTGGGATGACCGAAAAGAAAATGTCCTGGAAGAGGAAGAAGCTTAGTAGGATCACAGCTCAGTCTGATTTTGGGAATGGCCTAAATATCACATGTCCTCAGAAGATGGGGGAGCGGCGGACAGGGGACTTCTGTGGGTTCTTTTGCAGTTGGAGGTTTGGGGCCAATAGAATTTTAATTTGTACTTTTAATAAATGCGTTCACCAAATTTTTTTGAAGCCCATGTGTGTGGGTATGTGTGTGTTTCAGCTAGAATTCTTCCTGCCTTTTTGTTATTGTTGTTCTTTTGGGTAATATGGTTACTTAAAATATTTAAAAGAAAACGTACATTGCTGCAAATTTATTGGAAATCAGGATATTCTTGAGTGCAGGATTTTAAGTAAAATAGTATTTGTTCTTTAATGAATCACTTATGATGAAATTTGGTCTTCCGCCTAATCATATAATTATGTATCCTATTACTAGGTATTTAGGACATGGGGTTTTGTACTTCTTGCTTTTATTTATTTTTATTAATTTGTTTTTGTTATAGATGTTTCTCATATTTCCCCCATTGACGACCCCCCGCCCCATGCCCCATCCCCAGCTTTGTTGTCTATGTTCATTGGCCATGCATATATGCATGTAAGTTCTAGGGTTTATCTCCCCCCACTCCCCCGAGGCTTGTCAGTCTGTTGTACTTCTTGCTTTTAAAGATTGGCTTTACTTTGCAGAGGCAGAAGATTCCTGCTGGTATGATATGGAGTTAGTGTCCTCCTTCTTTAGCCTTTTGGGATGTGTAGTTGACATTTCTCAAGGCCCTGCAATATTGTTTACAATTTAAGGACCACGCCAAAGGCATGGGCAAAGGACTTAAACTTTTCCTGTGGTTTTTAAAATTTTGTCTTCCCACCAAGAGAACTACTTCTAGGTGGTGATCAGAGGAAAGGATTTTGTAAATGAAAATGTTCTTACTAATAGAGACTACATTTAAATCCATTACACTTTTGTTGGCAGACTTAAAGGCAAAAAGGAAGCTCAAGCTTTAACGAGAAGGTTGAACCTTGTTTGGTTAGGGGTGTTGACTGGATTGAGCACATTCCTTTGGTGGTACTCAGGCTACCCACTTGTTTTGATTATAATTAGAGGTATCACTTTAATAGTTACAAAGGTAACTCTTGTTTAGCTCTGAGTAACTTAAAGGTTTTCTGAGTAATTTAAGTTACTTCTTTAAAGTGGTTCTTATTCCCAGATTATATTTTGAGAGAGCTGCATAACCTATTCTTGGAATTTTCATTGACTAGTTGTTAACTATTGCAGTACTGTAGCCTTGTGAGTGCTGCTTTAAAAATTAGGGGGAATCTGGGAAAGCAAGCTCCTTCTGTTGCATTGACAGAGCTCATACTATGTTCAGAGAGCTTTATATATACGTTATCTCATCTGCTGTATACTGTGAGGTAGCAGTTACCCTGTTTTACAGGTGGCAAGGCCACATGAATTGTAAGAGGTAGAGTTGGAATACAAACTCAATTCTGTCTGACTTCAAATTCAGAGTTCATGAGCTATACTTCATTACTTCCCAAATGTGATCGCAGAAGATAATACTTTGCAGATAATTTTGCAGTTTCAGTTTTCATGGTAAAAGATTATGATATACCTTCAAATATTCATCTTTTATAGACTACTGTGACTGTTATGCATTACTCTAACTAAACCCTTCTGAAGCTTGTTTATCACTAGTCAGTTATTCCGTAATTATTTAAGTGTTTCCATATGCTAGACCGTGGGGAGCTAATGTTGGTCAACCTAGAAATAATGCTGGCTTTTAGGGATCTTTGCAGATCATAAATTGTATTTTGCCTTTTTAAATTTTTTTATTGAATTTATTGGGGTGATATTGGTTAATAAAATTATATAGGTTTCAGGTGTACAGTTCTATAATACATCATCTGTATACTGTATTGTGTGTTCACCACCCCCAGTCAAGTCTCCTTCTATCACCAATTATTCCCCCTTTACCCTCTTCCACTTTCCCCCTCCCCCCTTTTCCCTCTGTTAACTATACTGTTGTCTGTGTCTATGAGTTTTTTTTTTTCTTGATTCCTTTCCCCTTTTCATCCAGCCCCTCAACCCCCCCTCCCCTCTGACATTGTCACTCTGTTCCTTGCATCCATGAGTCTGTTTCTATTTTGTGTGTTCATTAGTTTCCATATATAAATGAGATCATATGGTACTTGTCTTTCTCTGACTGGCTTATTTCACTTAGTGTAATACTCACCAGGTTCATCCATGCTGCCTCAAAAGGTAAGATTCCCTTCTTTTTTATCCTCTCCTGAGGACACTTTTGCATTTATCTTCAGATAGAGTGGGAGGGAGAGAGGGAGGGGGGGAGAGAGAGAGAGAGAGAGAGAGGGAGAGAGAGAGAGAGAACCATCGACATGAGCAAGACACATCCACTGGCTGCCACCCACACGACCCCAACAGGGGCCGGGGACAAACTGCAACCAAGTTATGTGCCCTTAGCGGGAACTGAACCCAGGCCTCTCTGGTCTGTAGGCCAACGCTCCAACTGCTGAGCCAAATCGGCCAGGGCAGATTCCCTTCTTTTTTTTACAGATGAGTAGTATTCCATTGTGTGAATGTACCACAGTTTGTTTTTAAAAAATCTTTCTCTTTATTGACTTTAGAAAGAGATGAAGGGAGAGGGAGAGAGAGAGAGAAACATCAATTGGCTGCCTCCTGCATGCCTCCCACTAGGGATTTGGCCCACAACCTGGGCATGTGCCCTGACCAGGAATTGAACTGGTGACCTCTTGGTGCATGAGTTTGTGCTCAACCACTGAGCCATACCGGCTGGGCTGTACCAGTTTTTTTATCCACTCATCTATTGAAGGGCACTTGGACTGCTTCCAAATTTTGGTTATTGTAAATAATGCTGCAGTGAACACAGGGGTGCGTATATTCTTTTGAATTAGTGTTTTGGGTTTATTTGGATATAGTCCCAGAAGTGGAATTGCTGGATCATAAGACAATTCTATTTTTAATTTTCTGAGGTAATTCTATACTGCTTTCCACAGTGGATGCACTAATCTGCATTCTCACCAACAGTGCACTAGGGTTCCCTTTTCTCCACATCCTGGCCAGC